TAGCAATGTCCTGTGTTGTCTTGACGGTGTCCTGTGGATTAGGAAGCTGTCGTGATGAACAGGCATGAATTGTTCATTGCCGTTTCTTATCCAGTGAGTCCAGATTGCATCCAGATCTTGCTGAATGCGAACCATGTTTGTCAGTTCACTGTCTGATCTCTGTCAGATCGCATTTGGGAGAATTGGGACAGATGCGGAAGATACAAATCGGATTAAATTCGGATTGAGAACGGGAGAATTTGGAGAAATTCGACTGGAAACGGCTGAATCGGGATGCTTCCTGAACAATATCACAGGATCTTGATCAGACTTTTGACAAATTTTAATCAGGAATGTTCCTATCAAGGACGGCAGTCAAAATCCTGAATGTGTGAATGAGCCCTAAGGTAGAAACCCTTGATAAATCTGTGTGAGTGCTTCCTACTGTGATTTGCTGCACAGCTGGGCTAGATTTATACTGAAAACCTAACATTCTTATCTTTCTTGTGTAAAGACCAGTTATTTGTTGAGTATAAATTTTAAGTGCGTCCCTTCTTTCTTTGATTTACTGCCCAGTTAGCATGGTTAGGCTAGACATATTCTCAAAACCTTATCTATCATATATTTAACCATGGCTCCTTGGTCATGGTCCTTTAGTTTGAATGTTTTATGTTATTCAATGCATTGCATGGATCTGTGATTTGGTAGCTTTTCGTTCAAAGAAAAGGACAGAAAAGAAATTACTCCTATCTTGATCGTGGCTAGGCTCAATATACAAGGCCACAGTGAAGGGTTGACAGTCAGGTCAATATACAAGGACACAGTGAAGGGTTGACAGTCAGGCCAATATACAAGGCCACAGTGAAGGGTTGATAGTCAGGCCTATATACAAGGCCACAGTGAAGGGTTGACAGTCAGGCCAATATACAAGGCCACAGTGAAGGGTTGACAGCCAGGCCAATATACAAGGCCACAGTGAAGGGTTGTTAGTCAGGCCTATATACAAGGCCACAGTGAAGGGTTGACAGTCAGGCCAATATACAAGGCCACAGTGAAGGGTTGACAGTTAGGGCAATATACAAGGCCACAGTGAAGGGTTGACAGCAAGGTCAATATACAGGGCCACAGTGAAGGGTGGTTAGTCAGGCCAATATACAAGGCCACAGTGAAGGGTTGATAGTCAGGCCAATATACAAGGCCACAGAGTAGGGTTGACAGTCAGGCCTATATACAGGCCACAGTGAAGGGTTGACAGCAAGGTCAATATACAAGGCCACAGTGAAGGGTTGACAGTCAGGCCTATATACAAGGCCACAGTGAAGGGCTGACAGTCAGGCCAATATACAAGGCCACAGTGAAGGGTTGACAGTCAGGCCAATATACAAGGCCACAGTGAAGGGTTGACAGGCTAATATACAAGGCCACAGTGAAGGGTTGACGGTCAGGCCAATATACAAGGCCACAGTGAAGGGTTGACAGTCAGGCCAATATACAAGGCCACAGTGAAGGGTTGATAGTCAGGCCAATATACAAGGCCACAGTGAAGGGTTGACAGTCAGGCCAATATACAAGGCCACAGTGAAGGGTTGACAGTCTGGCCAATATACAAGGCCACAGTGAAGGGTTGACGGTCAGGCCTATATACAAGGCCACAGTGAAGGGTTGACAGCAAGGTCAATATACAAGGCCACAGTGAAGGGTTGACAGGCTAATATACAAGGCCACAGTGAAGGGTCGACGGTCAGGTCAATATACAAGGCCACAGTGAAGGGTTGACAGTCAGGCCAATATACAAGGCCACAGTGAAGGGTTGATAGGCCTATATACAAGGCCACAGTGAAGGGTTGACTGCCAGGCCAATATAGAAGGCCACAGTGAAGGGTTGACAGTCAGGCCAATATACAAGGCCACAGTGAAGGGTTGATAGTCAGGCCAATATACAAGGCCACAGTGAAGGGTTGACTGCCAGGCCAATATACAAGGCCACAGTGAAGGGTTGACAGTCAGGCCTATATACAAGGCCACAGTGAAGGGTTGACTGCCAGGCCAAAATACAAGGCCACAGTGAAGGGCTGACGGTCAGGCCTATATACAAGGCCACAGTGAAGGGTGGTTAGTCAGGCCTATATACAAGGCCACAGTGAAGGGTTGACAGCCAGGTCAATATACAAGGCCACAGTGAAGGGTTGATAGTCAGGCCTATATACAAGGCCACAGTGAAGGGTTGACTGCCAGGCCAAAATACAAGGCCACAGTGAAGGGTTGACGGTCAGGCCTATATACAAGGCCACGGTGAAGGGTTGACAGCCAGGTCAATATACAAGGCCACAGTGAAGGGTTGACAGCCAGGTCAATATACAAGGCCACAGTGAAGGCTTGACAGTCAGGCCAATATACAAGGCCACAGTGAAGGGTTGATAGTCAGGCCTATATACAAGGCCACAGTGAAGGGTTGATAGTCAGGCCTATATACAAGGCCACAGTGAAGGGTTGACAGCCAGGTCAATATACAAGGCCACAGTGAAGGGTTGACAGCCAGGTCAATATACAAGGCCACAGTGAAGGGTTGACAGTCAGGCCAATATACAAGGCCACAGTGAAGGGTTGATAGTCAGGCCAATATACAAGGCCACAGTGAAGGGTTGACAGTCAGGCCAATATACAAGGCCACAGTGAAGGGTTGATAGTCAGGCCAATATACAAGGCCACAGTGAAGGGTTGATAGTCAGGCCTATATACAAGGCCACAGTGAAGGGTTGACAGTCAGGCCTTATACAAGGCCACAGTGAAGGGTTGACAGCAAGGTCAATATACAAGGAGCAGGGGGGCACTGACTTGAATGACACATATTTCATTTAATGCTTCACAACTCTTAAATTTTACTTTATTTAATATGAAAAAAAAATTTGGCGACAGTATAAAATCATCATCCAACTTTATCTACCTTTAAAGTTATAGCATATTTCATTTGTATATACGTGCCAATTGGCCAGGTCGTAATTACTCTCTTACTGGTATGTAACATTGTTTTCTTATTGTTGTGAGTAAAAATGCGAGACACAGGAAAAAAATCTTCATCTCTCTCTTTATCTCTATTACCAGGAGGGCAGGGTAGCGTAGTGGTTAAAGTGTCCCCTTGTCATGCCAAAGGCCCGAGTTTGATTCCCACATCAGTACAGTGTGTAAAGCCCATTTCTGGTGTCCCTCACTGAGACTTTGCTGGAATATGTCTAAAAGCGGCACAAAACCATACTCACTCACTCTATTCCAAGTGAGTCAGCTGATGGGTCCAATATACAAGAATAGATGTCACAGAGAAAACAAGCAAAACATCAACTAATCCAGCATATATAAGATGATATAAGATGTTTAGTGAATTGATTGTAGCTGGGAGTGGTCAGCCATAGGTTAAAAATAACACATTGATTGATTCAGTATTCACTGTTATTGCCATGTTCTGAATGCAATCAAATGTTATTCACTCATGTTTGCCTCAGCTTTGACAGGAGAGTTTTACCATTCTAATTATTAATACATTTTAAATAAATCCAAATTAATGTATCAAAGCAAGTGATTGCACTTTATGACATATTTCAACAAATCAAAAGAGGTTGTAATTTGTTTTTTTCATATAAAAGTGGTTACAAATAATTTAACACTCACAGATGTTCATAAACTTAATATATTTCTTTTTTCTATGATCATGATGATGATAGCCTTTTTATCATGTTTGAACCATGGTGATCTTAAATCTTCATAAAAATCAACCAAAGCATAGTCAGCTTGTGTGTTTGTCAGCCTAGCTAAGTGAATGTCCTGTCATAACATTAAGTTATTGAGGTTACAAGAAGTTTGAATGCTGCAAACCAAGGATCATAAGCAGAGCAAATCTGGGATCCTGGCATGACTAAGGGACACAACTCTTTCGAGAGAATCGCAGAGCTTTGGACTATTTGCTGGCCTCACATTCTCTCAGATACACTGGGACAAAGGATCAATGGATCAAAAATGATCTTTCAACATCAGGCTCAACATAAGTAACACCAATATTCAGTTGTAGGTTTGTGTATTAACATGATGAATAATAAACATGTATATCACATGTATTGCAAAAAGTGAAGATCACTGATAAAGACTGAGATAAAATTGCCAAACAAAAATGTCCTTAAAATCACATCAAACTACAAAATGAGGGGGGCTATAAATAATCAAGTCAGGCCCAGACAAGCCAGTTATTGACATCATGATCATCAATCTACACAGTAGTAATTTGATGGCATGCATCAACCAAATCAGTGAGCCTGACATCAGATCCAGATAGACAGCTCTTACGACAAGCATGGGTTTCTGAACATGCTGAAGACTGATTCTAATCCGTAACTTCACGAGGGCAAACACATTAACAGCAGATGACATCAGCCTTAGAAACAAACAGTTTAAGTCCACTAGTCCTTATAATGATAACATATAGCAAAACCCCTAAACATGCTAAAAATGGCAAATATCTACTAGTCCTTATGATATCTTTACTGTTGGGCAGTTTGGCAAGCAGCGTTAGAAATTGGCACTAGTCCTGTAGTCCTTACCAAACTGCCTAATAAAAGGTATCCTAAGGACTAGTAGAAATTGGCCCATTTTAAGGGTTTTGCTATATGTTATCATTATAAGGACTATTGGACAAAAACTGTTAGTTTCTAACCCTGGCAAGGACTACAGGACTAGTGCCAATTTCTAACGCTGGACATGTTGGAGATTTGTAATTGGCGTAGGTCTCACTTTAGGCAAAAGCTGGAATAACTTCAATAAAACACAGGGAATATAAGGAGCTGTGTGTACTATTGCCAAATATCAATACTGGTCAATTAGCATTGCGATACATATTGCGACACTTCACATTGCAATAAATCAATACTAAAATGTATGGTTTATATAATACAATCCAAATCAGCTGCCATCCCCCAAAAAAATTAAAAAATCTGAAAAAAAACAGATTATTCACTTTGAATAAGCCCCAAACTTACTTCATACTGAATATACTGTTTCCGCCATTCTGGGGTGATATGAGCCCCCAAATGCTCTGCAAACTTCATCCTGTCTCCTTGCTGTTTAGTCCAGAGTCAATGTAGCTGAAGTCCGTTGTGTTATCCTATATCCATGTTCTACCTGAAATTGGATGTTTTGCACAACATCAAAGTCGGAAGATATGTATGAACACACATCTCTGAAACTGTGATTGAGAATTGCATTATCAGTTTGACATTAACCAGAAAACAGTAAGGCAGATAAGACAACGGCAAGCGGTGCAGCGTGTTGATGTAGTGTAACACGCGTGATGAGCTATTTACAGCTCAATTGTTTGGCTTCTATAAATATATCGAGTGTAGCGCAATAGCGGAGATTGGAAAACACGCTGGTCATGTCTCACTCTCAGTTATCATATAGGCCTATCGTATAAAATTATTTACCTTGTCAGATCACGCTTTGATTTTAGACTTCGCTGCCACACATATTCTTGGGTGTGATTAGCATGTTGCGTTGGTAAATGAGGTGATAACAATTGACAATCGGGAAAATATCGTAACTGTTCCACAATAACACTCATTAGGGGAGATTCATGTTGAACTTTGACTCAAAATAACACAAACACCTCTGCTGAAGAGCGGAAGTTGTGAAATACGTCACTGTTATTTGCTGTTTATGACGTCATAATTCATAAAATACTATTATGCTACCGACTATTTACTTTAAACATTTGTAATATAGGAGTCTTCTGAACGTTAATTGTTTAGATTGAACGGCTCATCAAGAACACCTTAGAATTCATTTCTATCATATTAAGTACTAAATTGCGTATCAAATAGGCAATGGATGTATCTGTTATTACGCGTGCATTGTCAAATATCGGGACATAGTTTGGCGGTTTGGCTTTGAGAATTTTCTATAGTTTGTGGAAAAAAGTATTGCATTGCATGTCGTGAAAAATCACCAGATGGACCGCTAATGAATTCTATTCATTTAACTGCGTACTAATGGTGCTAATTGGCTTAGTGTGTTCACTGATTAATTCTAATTGATGTGTTGATTGGCACCGGAGACTAGACAAGGAATCAACCGCGGATTCACAGCCGAGAACCAGGTCAACAAAACTCGTAATACAGCACAGCAAAGAACGCAAGCTTTTTAAAAATATTTAATGAAATAACTGTAGTGTAAATCAATTATTGGATCTGAATATTGTCTTACCCTGTATATGTTAATTTATCTCAAATATATAACAAACAAGTTTCTCAATGCTTCAGTTTTTCTGACAATGTACATTGACAGGTGCTTGATGTTTTCTATAAGCACTAGGTATGCTTGGAATGTATATATAGTGACTGTAGTGTATATATGTTTTTACTCTACTGCTACAATTCAATGTTTGGGGTGTTTGATACGTCATAATTTTCATTTTGTTTCGTAAGCCTCTATCAGGATGGATATTGTACACTTTAGCGCTTGAATAACATCTTATACTTTTATTCTGTACGCTATGTGGTAAATAATGAGTAAAACTGTATTCAGGTTATACTCGGCAAGCACCGATACCCCGCTCAGTTGGTTACGATTCGCACGCGTCAAACCAAAACACGTTAAAACATGGCACTTGTTGTTACCCTGCCTGGCGCTCAGCATGTAGGGCTAAAACAAGAACTGGTCGACTCGTAGTCAGGATTCACTCTGAGTGGGGTATTCATGTTAAACTGCGGCATGGAATATCAGTGGGTTAGCACTATCAAATCGGCTTTAGTCCGGACTAGTACAAGCAGACATAAACACATGCATGCACGTCATTATATAAGTGCAATAATGTTGGACGTGACGTTAAACCCAATTAAAACTCACCCAAACCCTCACAGCGGACCAAACCTCGGCTTTATAGATAAAGGGTTCAAGTTCAAACCCACCCTCCGAAGGTCCAGCTCAAACAGCTTCAACGCCAACAACGGAGCCGGAAGGTCGCATTAAAAGGATAAACAAGTTGAAATCCAAAGGCAGCAGCCTCCACTTGATAGCCGAGACTCTAAGAATGCATTGTAAAAGAGGTGAGGTGAGGTGAAATTGGGTTAACGTCGCGTCCAAGATTATTGCACTTATATAGCGACGTGAATGCACGTGTGTGTGTGGCTGCTTGTACTAGTCCAGACTGATGCCGATTTATAGTGCTAGCTCACTGAGATACCATGCCGCAGTTTAACATGAATATCCCACTCAGACACAGTATACTGACTCCGAGCCGACCAGTCCTTGTTTTAGCCCCTTAATGCCGAGCGCCAGACAGGGAAACAACAAGTACCATCTTTTAACGTCTTTTGGTATGACGCGGCCGGGGATCGAACTCCGGACCTTCCGCTCTCCGGGCGGACGCTCTACCACTAGACCGCGGTCGCGGTCGCATTGTAAAAGAAGACATATGTGAATAAATGTGCTTAACATTATATGAGCCATATTGTTTAATTGTTGTTTCTCACTGAAACTATGTGTTCTATTATTGAACACTGGACTCGTCCATACGTCTCACCCGTGAAGACCCGGGGTAGAATAGGTCTTCAGCAACCCATGCTTACTGTAACAGGCGACTATGCAGTGTCGTAAGGGGCGACTAACGGGATCGGGTGGTCAGGCTCGCTGACTTGGTTGATGCCTGACATCGATCCAAATTGCGTGGATCGAAGCTCATGATAGTAATCTGTGGATTGTCTGGTCCAGACTCGATTATTTACAGACCGCCGTCATATAGATGGAATATTGCTGAGTGTGGCGTTAAATAACAAACTAACCAACCGAACCTCCCCGGGCCTTGTATGTTGTCCGAACCTGCTCAAGTATTATATGACACATGTTTTGTTTTATGTCAATGTTCGTCACACCGAGGACCGGGGTTCGATTCCCGATATAGGTACAAAGTGTGAAGCCCATTTCTGGTGTCCCCCGCTGTGATATTACTGGAATATTGCTAAAAGCGGCGTAAAACCTCACTCACTCACTCAATGTAAATAGATATGTATCATATTGTACACAATATAGTCTTTCATAAATCGCTCGCTCAACTGATAAGCGTTTTCTTTCTGCGTTGAAACATCACTAACACCATCGCGGCTAAGGATTTCTGCAGAGGTATGCACTGCATCAGAAACATTAACTGGTCGACGTTTGAGAACTGTGGGAAGAGTGGATCCAGTTGAGTAGACATTTTGTCAGAAAGTGAACTACGTCTTCTATTACTTTAGAGTTGCAGTATCTACACTGTCTTTCCTCGAGGGGAGTGGGCGGACGTCTGAAACGACCTAGTTCAGTCTCTAGTGGCAACGTGCCGCAACGTAACTTCGCTAGTGTACTGCGTTGATTCCGGGTTAAGTTCTGGCAACGTACCGCAACGTAACTTCGCTAGTGTACTGCGTTGATTCCGGATTAAGTTCGACTGGAGGTATGGTTCAGCGTCGAGGCCATATTTAAAGAGCCTCTATGTCCGTAGCTTGTTCCCATTAATAAGTCTTAGGTCATTCCGTAGGTCAGTTGTCCACTTCTCGTAATCAATGATGAGTGAGTGAGTGAGTGAGTACGGTTTTACGCCGCTTTTAGCAATATTCCAGCAATATCACGGCGGGGGACACAAGAAATGGGCTTCACACATTGTACCCATGTCGGGATTCGAACCCGGGTCTTCGGCGTGACGAGTGAACGCTTTAACCACTAGGCTACCCGACCGCCCCCGTAATCAATGATGATAACTTTCTGTTTGAGTAGCTCGAACTGACTGTTAGAAATGCTGTATACATCAAGAGTATGGAGATTAAGCTCAGTCGACATGGATATAACTGTGTTAGTCCACGATTTACGGAATCTTGTTGACCAATCACTCACAGTCCTGACCAATCATGATTGACTGATAGACACTTTTCTCCAAAATCGGATAATCTCAATCCGCTGTAAAGTTGATGGCAACAGCCAGCCCATTTCACCACGAACAGCCATATTTGATGTTTTTCATCCTACTCCCAAGAAAAATCTGCAAGCTCGGTTTTAAACAATGTTTATACATCTGAATTCTCTGATTCCCCACACGGCAGATCCGTAAGAAAGGAAGGACAAGAAGGACAAGGTTGTTGTACAAAGTGTTAAACACATCATAAGCCATACCACCAATCAGTTTAAATTTGCTGATAATAATTCCCAGAGCTCTGTTAGCAGACTTTGTCAATTCTTTAGCTGTATAGTTTAGATCTAAGTTTTCCTGAAAAGAGTGTCCCCAGTACTTATATGCGTGATTATAAGCAATAACATCTTCTCCAATACTGAACACTCTCTGAGATCTCTCGACATACTTCGGTCGGTAGTGGACAATCTTTGTCTTGGTTGTGTTAACTAATAGACGCCATTTGGAGCACCATATAATTACGGCCACACAGTCCAGCATGCGTTGGAGGCCATCTTCATCGGGGGCTATGAAAGCTACGTTATCAGCATTAAGGAGAACACTTAACGTGCAAGTGTCAATATTAACACCCCATTGAAGACTATATATAGCTATTAATATCATGAGCCAAGTCATTTATGAAAACTGAGGAAAGAGTTGGTGATAACACACATCCTTGTCGGACTCCAGTGGTCACTTGGAACTCGTCTGTAATTAGACCATTAATTGGGACCTGACTTGTAGTGTTATCACACATGCATAAATAGCTTCATAAAATATACCCCTTATGCCAAGTTTCTGACGTTTATACCGCAAACAGTTTCTAGTCACATTGTCGAACGCTTTCTTCGCATCAATGTAGCACACAAACGTTAACTGTCTTGAAATTTTCCGATTGTGAATCACAGAATACAGAGTATATAAATGTTCATGGGTACTTCTTTTCCTACGGAAGCCATTTTGTTCATCAGCAAGTATTTCATGTTCTTCCAGCCACTTGGACAGACGGTTGTTCAGAATATCAGAGTATAGCTTGAATAATTAAAATACAAGTTGGGGACAAGTGATACTTGAACAAATATTTGCCTTGACGAAATGAAGAACGTAATAGAAGAGGCTCGATGACGAGCTGGTGAAATTTATGACTACTTTAAAGATGCGGAGGAGACTGAGGATGATGGGGTGTTGGCTGCCTTTGCTCGTTTCCTCGTTGATCCAGTCAAGAAATTCTTGTCCCGCTGGCAAAGTGAAATACTCATTGATGTGATGCATGTAATATCGCCTTTGATACCCGTATCAAATACATCACCGAATAACGATGTCTTGTTTGTTTTTAGCGACCATCAAACATGGATGTATACTTTCTCTTGTCCGGCAGTTTATGCATGTAGATGTAGTTCTAACCAGCTCCCAAGTGATCTGGATGAATGCACAGCTCGTTAGCTCCAAGAGAACATGAACTTTGGGTCTGGGGTAATAACAAAGGAGATTCTGTCCGGATGCATTAATTGAGCCCACAACTATCCACATATATAAGATAGCTATGCGATAAATAGCAAAGAACAATGAAGAAAGAAGTGTGGTTTATTCCACGATAAAACATTGTACTATCATGACGTCATTTCTGGAGATTCGAACATGCGCTCGCAACTTGATGACGTCGTTAATTCGACGACGTTGTTTTTGAGAGGGGAGTGTCTAGTGAATTGTTTCCCATAGCTGTAGCTGGGCAACGCAGACAAACGCGATGGCCGAACGATCGCGTCCAAAAGCGGGAAAGATA